ATTTTTAATCTATGGACAAGCTTAACTGAAAATTTCACGATCGCATTTAAAGCTCAATTTTACCCTTCAACAGCAATTTTTTACAAACTTCTTCCACCTTTCTTCATTACTAAGAGAAATTTGATGCGATGGTAAATATATATATATATATATATCTTTTTAATCGTAGCCTGTACATACTATCATATAAATCATAAATAGCTTCGATTCATAATCCTCGTAACGTTCGCTGAGGTATAGAATTATTTACAGAAAGCTTTATCATATAAATGGTATTATACTCCCTATTATATAAAACTTCTCTATTTAGCACACACCACCTTACCAGAAATATTTGTGCAAATAAATTTTAACAATTTTTCTTCATTTAATTTATTTTTACTTAATATTTTTTCATCAACTTATCCGGTGACTGTTAAATTTATAATTAACCTCCCATAATATTACATTTTGGGAATTTATACTTCTGTAAATATGTCTTCAAAATCTACGATAAATCCAAGCTTTCAAGATCATAGATTAATAAGAAAATGGGCGATCGTATTCAAAATTAATTTGGTATAGTTAGAAATACCAACAGATTCACTATAAAAATTCTGCTCTCAATAATAATTTGTAGCAAATATTTGCAACTTGTAGAAAATTGTCGCATAGCTTAACTATTCAATGCAAATCCAAGTATAAATAATCGTTAGATCGAGCATGAACAGCAAACATCATTTTTTCATCATCCTCATCCAAGCTGACAGTATGGCGTAGCAGGTAGGGGTTTATAAAAGTCGACGCATAAAAAGAAAAACGACCTACGGCACGATATGTAAAAAGACCGAAGCGCAAGCGTCAACGGCGCCTTGCACGCATTGAAAAGTCGAGAGCGAGATGCTCGCGCGTATCTGAGAAAGAGGCGCACGTGCGGTCCATCGTCGCTCTCGTTTTCGTCGGATCATCAGTCGCTGATCTCGGGGTGGATCTCGAAGCATTGTCCATACCTTCTACACTTGCTCGATTCACCCGCATACTAAAGTTTGCTTTATAAAATGAAACAATAGCCATTATGTGAAACACTCATCGAGTTCTTGGGTTCGCGGTGCCCACGGACCCGGGAACACTTAAGGTTACTGCCTTTTTAAAGGATATTTATTTATTCATTTATTTATTTATATAGTTTCGCCACAGGTGTCTTTTCTCTCTCATTCTCTCTCCCATTCTCATTCTCCCCCCCCCCTCTCTGTGTGTTACTGGCAAGAAAGTGTGGCCGGCCGATTCATGGGACTCGGCCGTGTGCCGAGATTTACGTCCTAAACGTAAATCACGCCTGTAATTCATTTTCGCGCAATTTTTACACAACTGTCACAAGCCGATGGAGGCCTTGCCGTGCTTTCAGTATTTTGAAGAAATTCAGAAGGAATTGATGTACTGCTCGAAGGTTAATTTATAATACGTTAACTATGACTACTCCTATTATCTCGGCCGTTCTTTATTCCTTCGTCATTCATTGAAGTTCCCCATCATGCGAAAAGCTTAACGTTAGTTATTCTTTAATTAAGAAAAAGTAGTTTTAAATATTTCACACTTAACCGTTCTCATAGTAAAATGTTATAAACATGGCCTTTTCTTAAGAAGAAGGTAGCCTCTTATATTACACGTTTACAGATGTGGCTAAAGGTGCCGATTGATAAACTGCAAATTGAATAATAGAAAAATTACAATTTAACAATATTGAAATATATAATAAAATAAATGCAATATTTTTACAGCCATAAGCCCATTGTTTAATTTCCTCGAGTCAAGTTTACCAATTAACAATGGTACCACGTAAATCGCTGGTACATTCGATATATACGAGTACATACATCTGGTTTAATGTTAACGACAAATAAATCTTAGGAGTCCTAACAAAATACCAAAGATGAAATGGTCAATAAAAAGTGGAAATTGCGACTTGAGATAAGTACCACGAGCCGGAATCTCTGTCAAAATATAAGCCGTACGGTTTGGCCACCCAACTATCGATAATTAATAAGAACGGTGACGAGTAGCTCGTGAAACGCGACCCCTTTCCGCGCCCGGCAAAACTGACAATAGAGACCCAATGACGTCTCAAAGAAATATCCTGAGAGCGCGGAAAGTGGCACATTATAACACGAAAATAGCCGTTCGATCGACTCGCATACGACATGTTTATACGGGAAGTCGGGGGACAGGTGCATCGAAGCGCATTATACGACAGGCGGTGGAGGGGCCCGGCGTTTATGCCTTAAGGACAATCGTGGGAATTCCATTAAGTGGCCCTTGAATGGTTCATTCACGTCGATCGGTCGGCTGGTTTCCTCCACGAGCTTGACAGATCAATCGCCCAGCTGACCGGTCGTGCTGTCGGACCCATTGCCAGATCCATTGCCAGACCCATCGTCGGATCCGTCGTCTGATCCATTGCCTAATCGCCCGCTCGACTTCGCGCACGACTTCCTTCTCGGCAATTCTTTTTCCGCCTCTGGCCCCTAGCCGATTGCTTAGCTTTTCCATGTTTCTTCTCCTACCGTCCATTTTTACGCAACGTAAGCCTCGGATCTCTTGACATGCGCACGCCTACTTTTACCGAGTAATTTCGGAAAGAACGTTGATTAGCCCGCACTTTGAATCTTTTATAAATCTCGAACGGCTTTTATAAATCTTTTTTTTTTGCGTGCTTACATTTATCGCTTGCTTATCTTACCACTACAATTTCGAAAGTAATTGTAGATTTATTATAATCATATCATATTTTCGGTCGTTGTTACAAAAGGTATGTCGGTGATGGAATTTTGTTACTTCGATGACACTATGCAGTAAAGTTCTCGGAAATAATGACCAATCCTAGGTATTTCATTATTTTTTCTATATCGTGCTTTGATTTTTTTTTTATTTTAATGAAATATGTTGCCCACTACGTCGCTAAATTCCACAAATCTTGTTTTTATATCTCCTATATTAATAAGTGGACTATAGATTCTTTCACTTTGCGTATTATAATACTGGTGCTGAAGATTGAAAATAATAAATTAAAATTTTTTCAAAATAAAATAATGATAGAACCAATCATTAACGTTTAAAAGAATCACATGTTCAAATAAGAATAATTCGCTAAAAGAGAGTGAAGTCGATTATCGCATACATACTTGCATGCTTGCGCGATACAAGATGAAACCACGAATCTAGCTTTAATGAATTCGCATAATTAATAAAATAGTTTTAAAAATTAACGATTACGTGAACATTGATTTAACAATGCTACGCATATTATCTAGCAATTTCGGGGAATACGGAGAAATTACCTTCTAGTCTAATTTCATAGGCAATATGGATAATGTCCGGATGCCCTAGAAATGGATCTTCATCGATAATAAATAAAAGCCAATTCCACACTGGGAATGATTCGATTATGAAAATTCATCGAATCGATACTTGGATCGCGTTCAATCCTATTGGGCCCGGTAAAATTGAGCGCAGCCTGCGTCCGATCTCGGGCTGCCCATCAAGAGCGGCATTTTTCTTCAAGTGGCGCGTGCCCACGCCGATCGCTCCAATGTAACTGTAATGGAGATGGGATGAGGGCGAGATCGGTGCACGCTTTCTCGTAATTGAAAACGTCTTATCTTTCCCTCTCTCCCTTTCTCTTCCTCTCTCACTCTCGTCCTCGTTCGTTTTCTCCCTCACTGTCTCTCTCTCTCTCTCTCTATCTATCTATTTATCTATCTATCTATCTAACTCTCTATCTAACTCTCTCTCTCTATCTATCTATTTATCTATCTATCTATCTAACTCTCTATCTAACTCTCTCTCTCTATCTATCTATTTATCTATCTATCTATCTAATTCTATCTCTATCTCTATCTCTATCTCTTTTGCGCGCCATCTTGCATTTCAATTGTAAGCTCGGGGATGTAGAGGAAACGTCGGCGGATAATTGCCCAGACGAACGAGACAAACGATTGATAGACCTCGCTGTGACGCTCGCCCGCATCTTCCAACGATTTGTCCGATCGCGAACAAGCCACGCGCATTCACTATTACATTGCTCGCATTTTCCTTTACGTAGGTCGAAGTAGATTGAGATGCACTTTTGGATATCTGCTTCCTTTATTATCGTATTTACCGTATTTTTCATTTCAATTACTCCAGCTTTCGAGTTATAACTGTGTTCTTTAACATTACGAATGATTTCTTAGTCACGCGACATGAACAATGATCAATTTAAGAAATTGAAATGTATATGAAACTTGAATGTTATCATATTAATAACAAATGTTATTTGTACATTCATACAAATTCAATTTTTATAAAATGATGGATAAAATAATTGAAATACATGACAATACTAGATAGACACATTCATCGATTTTGCCTCCCTTTTTTGTAACTTGAATACCTTTAATGCTTTGCTTATTTTATAAAAAACAATGAATGAATTTTCATCACCTTGTTTATATATATATATATATATATATATATATATATATACAGTTAAATATGCGATTGTGTATATGCATGCATACGCAATTTATCCCAATATATACATATATATTTATCTAAACGAGGTCATTGGATTTATGTTCACTAAAAGTAAATTCAAATGAAGCTGTAAATTAATTCTTTGTACAAATGCAAATTACCCAATCTGACGTATACATTAACAAGTACTTCAGAACGAATTCGCCGTTAATATATATTTAAGGGCCAATAAAACTATCCTATAAAAAATTATTTATTTATGATGATAAGGACAAATGCGCGGATAGAGAAATGTTCGTAGCGTTACTAGCTACATTAAAAAAGTGTCTCCGTGTCAAAGACCTTTGGTATGACTACAAAATTGAATATAAGACGTTTTTTAGCTTAAGATAGCCGTACATGTTCGCATGCATTCCCGTCGCCCAGTATGCAGAAGCTAAGCAGGATTTTCATGTCGGCCACTTCTATCGCCATTATTAAGCGCTCTTTCTCTTGATCTTCTTCCTTAGGATGCTGGACAGCTACGAGAGAGGCGAGGTGACACCACCACCACCGGTGAGCAGCTACGGCGGCTCCCCCGGACTTCTGGCGCTTCACTCCTCGCTCTACGCAACGCCTACGTCACGGGCATTCGACATCGACTCGGGCATTGACGGTAACGAGAGTCCCATGTCCATGGACACGCAGATCATACCGGTGACTATTTACCTAAAAATATCAAACTTATCTCAGTGTCCTTATGAATATCCTCTCTGCCGCTCAGAGGCAAATTCAATTCCTGGATAATCGCTTCTCTTTCAACTCGATGTACGATGTACAAGCAAACATTAACATTAGTTATAAAAGTTCTGAAATTTTCTTAAGAAAAATGCAAGCATTTTCTTGTTTCTTTTTCTATTACAATATTTCAAGAATGGAGATATATTTCAGGCATGAGAAATTCAAAGGTTATAAGGAGTACAAAATTTTATGGTTGTAATTCTATTTAAGCTCGATAAATTTCGTCGTCGCGACGATCATATTATTCACAATTACAGACGAGGCCTAGAAATTTGTTTCAATAATATTTAAATTAATTTTAATAACAAGTCCAACTATACAAAAAATCTTCATTTTATTTCAAAATTTTCCTGGATGTATAATAAATACCGATAAATTCAAGATTATGACAAGCAATTTAGACATTTTTACCTTCTACCACAGTTAAGTCAAGTCGTAAAAAATTTGTTAAATTAAATAAATATTAAATTATGGTAATGAATACACAAATGTTAACGAATTCCTTATTTTTCGATTATATAATACTAGTGAATAAAAGCAATATGATATAAAAAAAAAGTTTTTACAAACGAATAATTGTATAAAATAAATAACAAATACACTTCTACTCATAAATTTACTATATTATTATGAATATAGTATTTTCATAAGCAAAAATTTTATAATGTTTCTTTATAAAATATTGATACAACACTTGTGCTATAATATTTTTACTACGTAATCAAATAATTCAAAACTTGAGAAGATAAGAAATAATGTGCATAACATATAAAAACATGTTATTCTTACAACCACCATACTAAAATAATTCTAAATCTTTCGCGTCGATTGCTTTTAAATTTATTTTAATAACAACGGTAACAACAAAAGTATAATAGTAATAATGATAGCAATAATAATATTAATGATAGGATTATTTAACTGCGAGATAATACACAATAATGCAATTAAAATACTTGAAAAATGTAAGGTACAAATTTTATTTTTTAAAAATTTATAAAATATAAATGTAGAATAATAGTAAATGATTAGATTAATATATAATTATTGAAAGATGCCTCTTACAACATTCCTCACTAAAATAAACTTTAACAAAACTCGCTATTAATGATAGAATCGAAAAGATTGGCGCACAATGAACGTTATTTGCCCAGATACCGGGAATGTTGAGCGGTCCAGCGCAGCAGCGCCTCGAGGACATGTCCTGGTTGGCTTCTGGTCCTTCCCTTCAGGATTACCAGCAGGGTCTCGGCCCAATGTCCGCCGGGGTGAAGATGTGCCATCCCGGAAGTGGATCGGCCGCCGCCCGGAGCCTCAAAGAGCAACGCATACGACGTCCGATGAACGCTTTCATGGTATGGGCCAAGGTCGAGCGCAAGAAGCTCGCCGACGAAAATCCTGACCTCCATAATGCAGACCTCAGCAAAATGCTCGGTGAGTCCTGGATATATTGACGTCATTTCGGTCGATCTTCTTTTGTCCAGCATTTTCGCCTCCTATCCGATACATTTATATTTGACATCTCATTTCTCAATGTTTTAAATTTGAATATGAGATACTAAATACGTAAAGTCGCAATGATTTCTGAAATATTTACGTTTTCATTAGTACAATCGTAAATTGAGTAATTTTTCTTTTAACTTAATCAGCATTATTTATGATACGGCAGATAATGCTCAAAAAAGTTATGTAGTTACAATGATTTTGAGCTTGATATCGATTTAGCTGAACTTTAAATAATTATTGTATTATTAGTTGTTTTAATGCAAGACATTTTTATATTGAATCACTGATTTTAATATTATTTATATATATTGACTGTAGCATCTTATTTATATGTGTGTCACTAAATTTCACTGATAAATTTTAGAAAAACAATAAAATAATATTCTGAATTTTAAAGAGTTTCCCACATAAAAGAGTGTATGAAAAAAACGAGATAACGTGAGCGTTAGCGAAAAGTGATTATAATTTTCAATAAATTATTCCGGCACTGTAATTACTTGTTGACATTGAACGAATTAATAACTACCTTTTCAATAACTGTTATGATTCATCAGCTTATAGAAACTTTCATGATCGAACTTGATTTTAATTAAGGTTTATACTCAGGTTATTTAAAATTTTCTAAGTATATCGCTCACGATAAAATTCCTTTTTTTTTTGGAAAAACGTAAAAAATGTGAGTTATTCTTCCATTATCATTATTGTTATCGACGTCATTAATAATTAAAATATCTCACACACTGCTTGAATTTATAGAAGCGAAAAAATCACGTCATTCTTCAATTAATTTTATAGATCAAATCAGATCTCGATCCCATTGAAGATATTTTTCTCTAAATCGTACGCCGCTTTCAACTAATTAAAGCGGTACCGTTTTCTAAAAAAAAAGAGCCACAGCAAAACCCACTAATCATGAAGGTTATTTTTTCGTCTCTTACGAGGATAAGCACGCGCGGCTTTCCTGTTGGAAAAATAAAGCCGTGAAAATCTCAGACAAGAATTGCCAGGGAAGCCTTTTATTCTTTTATGGGAATAAGAAAGTTGCGCGGCTGGGAAAAGAAGAGTTATTATTTTAATTATAATGCCCACATTAATGGAATTCCCATTTACGTCGAAAGGAAAAGAGATCTATTTTTTTTATCTATGTTCGTGCGAATTGTCTCGGCGTTGGCGGTACCTCGGCCGATCTTCGCGACTCTTGCAGGTTGCTCTAGATCACGTTTCGAATCAAGGTTGATTTGCTCCTGAAGAAAACTGCTCGGCACTCGTATAAAATCAATGGCGCGAGGTCGAGGGAGGGAGACTGGAGTTAGAGAAGGAGGAAGAGAAAAAATTCACCTTGCCTAAGTAAACTCCGTCGTTAGGTCAGATGCTAACGATTACGAAATCCTTTGCAGAAGTTAACAGTAACTTTGCACTTTACTTTGTTCAAATAGCCTCGATACATGGTACAATTACATTGCTTCTTACCTAAAGATATATGCAATATATGTTAAAGAAAAGCCTGTTCGACGTTGTTAGCCCATTGTGTTTAATGTCTTTTAAAAAGAATTTTATTAGTCATTTCGTTCAAACCTTAAACAATTAATTGTTTTTAATTCAAACATTGATTGCTTCTGTACACATTTAATAATTTCATAAAAAGAAAGTCCCTTTTGTATATCAATTTTATAATTAATAATTATTCAATTACTAAATTAAGCAATTGAATAATAATCTCATTATTGTGATGCTTATATAATAATACAATTAATAGTGATTTTAATTTCTTAAATTTCTAAAGCATGATAAGTTTACTTTAGTTATATGACTTAACAAACTACATTAACCAACTAATGATTATTTCAAATAATTACTTAAATATAGCCCAATTGTTCAACCTGGATTACTATTCATTTTATTAAATATTTCCACAAATTATCGTAAAAATTTCACATCAACTTTCATTACATGTGATAAAGACTTTATGAAAATCTACCGATTCAAACGCGACTGAAATGAATAATAATTAACAAGAATCTTCGTCTTATAGGATATCCTTTCTAAGTGTTTTCCTTCGTTATCGTTCTTTCATAATCATAATTAAAAGTATATTACGTACAACGAATATTTCACAAATGAAACTTTCAAATTTCTAACATTAACTTGAAATATATATCCATGCTGACGATTTTGAAAATGTGTAATTGTATCGATTTTCTATCAAATAACTCTCTAACTAATCGAATTAATTTCTCAATTATGGTACAGAATTTTAGAAAATGAAATCATGCTTAAATTTAAAAAATCATATTTACTATATGAATCGTATGATCAAATATTTTTTAGTTCATTATTAGAATTAACGATGTATAGTGATTAATTAATAGTGTAAAAGTCATTTTAATAATTATTTCATATAATTAAGAATGCGAAAGAATGAAGCGTTTATAAATTTTATATAAATACTATTTCATGTGTATATATATGAATTTTGTATATATATATATGAATGTATATAATTGGTATGCCAAATATTGTCTGCAAAATTTCTCTCACACCTTTTCTAGGTATGTCATGAATAAATACAGAAAATTCCCTACCTTGTATTTCAGACATTTTATGCATTTTCTAACGCACATAGCAAGAAGCTGCTCTTACAAACCATTTATTTCCGTTTGTTTTCTGTTTCATTCAATTGCCAATGTATTTTGCTCACAATTACATTATAAAATGAAAAATACTTTTTCTCTGCATTTTTAAAGGTTTATAACTCTAAAGCACCAATAAATGACTCAATTGCTTGAGTAGAACCATTTGTTTAAAGTAATAATTCATATTCTGAATATCGGGCAAGCCACTGCTCGCTCTAAAGAAAATTCAAAGACTTGAAATATCTTAAACATCGCCCCAGAACGTATATATAATATAATTCAAGTAAGAATGCGGTTGAAGGAAATACCATTAGCTCCTGATTCATAATTCATCGTTAAATTTATCCTAAAATGGCAAAGGGATTTGATTTGAAGTTAGAACTACTGGAAATTTATCCTTGCAAATGCTTACAGTCGAATATCTTGCTGGAAATACAAGCGAGCAGCCACATTGAATTTACGAATCTTTGGTTCACCGAATGATTGGTGGCGGCGACGGTGACGGCGCTCGAGTCCACCTCGAGGACAATTCTCGTTTAAGCTTGGTCCGCGATCGAACTCCTCAATCTACACCGATTCAATGATATTCGTCGATGTCACAAGTCGATTTTTCGAGACCAGTCGTGGCGGGCGGATACGAAGTAATCACGTGGAGGTCGGAGTGACCAAGTGGCCACCGGGTCTGCGTCTAGACCTATATATCATTGGCTCGGAGTATTCGCTCAAAGTTCTCTTGACTCCTCGGTATACGGAGCTATGTGCGCGGGCAGCCGCGTAAATCAAACGTACCACCCGCGCGCTCTTCGACGCGCACTATGGAAAACTCACCGCCTCTCTCAGATCGACGCTGCATTAGCGCAAGACGTCGCGACCCGACGATTATTATGCGCCTCGAGTATCCTCCGCCCCCACCGATGTAAAAGCTGCGACTGTCTTTCTATCCTTTCATTCTCGTTCATTCTCCATTTGTTCTTTATTTCTTAATTTTTCTTTATCCCCCCCCCCACCGCCACCACCGCCACCATCCCATACACTGCGACTATCTTCTTACTTCTCCATCTTCCCTTGGCCGCCGGACTACGTATCCACGTGTGCGTACGTGCATGTGCCTCGGGTACACAACATATTCGCCCATGTGTGCTGATTATTTTTTTTTTCCAGCAGTCAACTCGGAACGTCCTACATATTCATGTACGGCGATTCGTAACGTTTCCAATACATCCATCCGATGCATGGAATTTTCTGTCTTTGTGTACGGCACTTGCAAGCGGAAATTGTTTGAGTAGCGAAAATATCCCGCAAACTTCGTCGAGTTTAGCGGAGTGGTTGCTCTTTTTTTCCTTTTATTTACTTAATTTACCTGTATTTTTATGAGAGCTAACCATCTCATTTATATTAAAGTATATGGTCTTTTAAAATGAAAAGGTCGTCCCTATATGAGTAATAAATATTAATTATTTTTTTATGGGAAAAGGCCTCGCTGTATTTCTTAAATATTATGTCACCCATCTATTATTAAATATCATTTAAAATAAAAATTTAAACTCATTAGTAAAATATATTTAAAACTTTAGTAAACCATGAAGCCGAGAAAATCAACTACAAGACATGACTTTTTTCATTTGAATGATGATTGTTAGTATAATAAACAATTGTATTGTAAGCTTTTATAATGCTTGCTTCATATACATGCGTAGAAGGTCTAACCAAGTTTCTCCCGATAAAACAATTCAAAAGATAGAGCGTATTGACTATAGCTGTCCATTGAACTCGTGAATATGGTGATACGATAATAATGATACTTCTAAACAATAAAAAGTTGCAATAATAATTTTTTTTTTTTTGTTTATTTTTTTTTTTTTTTTTTTTTTTTTTTTTTTTTTTAACAACTTGATGAGGTTTATTTGCCTTGCTAGTGGATATTTTATTTGAATTTCACACTTGATTATAACATAACAATTAACATTACAAAAACGAACTCCTATTGATTAATTGTTTATGCGAAAGTAAAAACAATTATAAAAACAAAATTTAAAACAATTATCCGTAAATTGAAAAATAATTAAAATTATTTTAAATATATGTACTATTCTTTTTAATAAGGTACATTTTCTCATATTATTTTATACTACTTATCTAGGTACAAATATGCTGTATTATATATGTATAGTTAATCTTAAATTTTAATTAAAGTCTGGTTTTATATTGTTATTACGGGCATCTATTCACACAAATACGACAACTAATTATAATAATCAAGTTTGTTATTCACCAATCAATATCAGTATTATGGCC